CGAGATTTTTGCTACTTTAAAATTGTTACTTTTACCTCATTTTATTATTGTTTTAAATAAATTTATTTTTTCAATTAGTGACGGTCTTAGAAACGGTCTAGACCGTTGCTAAAAATAAAAAATTACCAACGGTCCGCACAGTTGCCAAATTGACCGTTGCCAACAATTTAGCAACGATCAAGACCGTTGCTAATCCGTCGCTATTTAGCAACGGTCATACCAAGTGTTTACAAGACCGTTGCTAATGTCATAACTGTTTACATTGACATTTAGCGACAAAATAGCAACGTTTTGCACCGTCGTTAATTTTAAAACGGTCCAAACCGTCGCTAAAAAACAACGATGACCTTTTTAGTGATGGTTTCTTGATCGTCACTAAACCGTTGCTAAAACGTTTTAGTAACGGTGTTTTTTAATTTAGCGATGGGTATGTCCGTCGCTAAATGACATTTATCTCGGTAGTGTTTTTTGTCAAGGTCTTGACCGGCAAGCAGTCAAATAGTTGGATCCCTCATTCCTTGAAAAGGAAACCATCCGCTGACTCTGAAGAGTATAGAACTTATGATGTGCACTTGCTCGAAATCATTCCATGACCAACTTGAGGAGAACAAATAAGGGTGTGGTGGGGTTTGTACTTTCATCTAGTGGAGTACTGTAGCGGAGGATGGGGCATTTTAAGTTTAAGTAGCCGGTGTCTTTGTATTTTCATGATGGGTAAATTAATAAGGTTGCAAACGGATGGATATTTGAATAAAAATGGGTATGGATCATGTTTTATCTATTATTCATTTTTTACCCGTTTATTTTTTAAATGGATATCTATATCCACTTAAACTATAATCTCTCTTCTATCCATCAATCTATTTAAATTGTTGGTCTAAAGTTAATTAATTGATTAAATTGTATTTACTATAAAGTATGAGGACCAAATCCAAATAAGGATCAACATTTTCGAAAGTTTGATATTTCACGAACTATGGTTTAAAATGGGTGAGATGATAACCCTTGCCCGATAGCAGAGCCTCACAACACAGCAAATACTACAACATGAAGGGTCTAAATACCTTAAAATGTCTACTGGCTCGGCTGGCATGGCATTGAAACAAACGGCTTAATGAAACTTTGTGGGGAATTTATAATATATAAATAACCACAAAATGTTACTATTTCTTTGACTTAATTCATAAGTTTACGTAAAATTTTATTCTCAAATTTGATATGTAAAAGATTATTCTTAAACTAAAAAATTACATGTACATTTAAAAAAAATTTGGTGTATTTAATTTGATTCTTATGAAATGCCTTAAGAGGAAACAAAAAAAAAAAAAAAAAACAAAAATTATATGGCTTTTTGGAAAATTAATAAAAAAGAAACTGACTTTTCATAACTAGCGTTTAAGTTGTTATATTACGCGAGTAATATCTAGAAAACTATCTCAACTCGTACTTATATTTTATGTATAATTTTCAATGTCTCTACAAGTATTATTGTTTCTAATTTGTCCTTGAAAAGTATACCGTTCTTCAATCTATCCTTATATTAGATATTTTATCTAAAAAGACAAATATACCCTTACATGGGAAATTTATAACTAACCTAATTTGTTTTTAAAACAATAAACATAAAAAGAAATAATTTATACAATATGACAATTTTTTTTTTCAAATTTATTAGGTGGGATTTGAGTTTTTCCCGTAATATCTACTACTCCTTAAATCTTTGATTCTATATAAATCTTTAATAAATCCTTGGATTTCTAAAAAAAAAACTAGCAGGGAAGGTAGCCCTCTCTAGTCCCTAGTAGGCTACGTCCCTGCCTTAACCTAATCCTGTATAAATAAAAACATATTTATACATCTTAAATGTTTTATAATCCATAAAAATAAAGATATAGATCTGTACATTTTAATTGTTTTATCGCTTATACAAATAAATATGCAAATTCTTTAAAGACGCAAAAGCTTATGTCATATAAAAATTCTCGACAATGCTCCAAAAGATGTAGGCATGGACGCAGCAGGCCGATTCATTATAGGCTTATTTTAAGACACAAAAAAATGTGCCTTTATTGGACCATGTACTGTAGCCCATGAAATATGGAATCATACGAGGGACGGAAGGAAATTTTATGTCCATTGTGGTCTCTTTGTTCACATTGATTTGATGTGTTAAAATAATAATAATAATAATAATAATAATAATAATAATAATCTTTATTATAAAGTTTTAAAAGTGGCCTGAATATTGACCCGATCAGTAAATTGAGTCATCATTATTGGTTCAACCAGTGGGTTAATGGGCTAACTATAGGTTTTTGTTCTTGAACACAAGCTAACTATTGGTCAATTGCAATACAATTATTTGAGAACATGACATATGATCTATATATTCTTATAAAATTGACTGAGTATTTAATTTGAGTTTTATATTTTAAAATGAATGAATTATTTTTTTATTATTTAATCGATTTATTATGAAAAAAATGGACATGAAAAAATAATTAAAAAAAAACTATATTGGATATGAAAAATTAAATGTATCCTATACATGATCTCAAGAATAACAAGAATAAGCAATGTCTATAAATAATAATTAATTTATAAGTGACTACAGACAAAGCTAAAATAGTTCATAAAAATCAATATAAAATAATTTTATGAATATAATATGATGATTGTATTTTTGTATCCAAAGTTGTAGTATGTACACTTTTATGCTTTCTTTCAAGAAAATTACTTATTTGACCATTGAATTTGTTTTTGAAAAAATTCTTTTTTTCTACATTTAATAGCAGCTTAAATCTGTATAGAGCTGTAATAATTTTGTGTGCTTTATTTTATTTGTGATTCGTGCAATGCACTTGACCAAATATTCAAGAAGTAAAAGTTTAATAAAATTGATATTATATTATTTATGAATAATTAAATACCAAAATTAAATTTATAATTTTTTAAATTTCTAATTGACTGTACATAGACCAAAATACACTTAATATTTACTTTTTTTTAAATGAATATTTTGGAATTAATTCCCTCAAATAAAATAATAAAAATTATATTTTAAAAACAACATATGATCGTACCATTTTTTTTAAATGGAGTTCTTATGATAGTATTATTTATTATTTTGAGAATATATATATATTAAAAAAATTAATTTTTTCATCGATATTATAAAAAATTATTTTAAATCTTAAAATTTTTATGTAATTTTTTAAAATTAATTGTTACTTTATCTTCCCGATACATTCTTACAAACTAAATAATAAAATTTATACCATTTTTTAGGTTTGCCGATAAATTGAAATTTACGTTTTAAATTATTATAAATGTTTATTTAAGAATTCATGTATGACAAAAAAAATATCTTTATTTTTTTAAAAAGGAAATATTTTTAAAACAAATAAGAAAGAATTATTTAAATATAAAAATTTGATTAAAAAATCATAAAGCTAGGTAAATATTTGTTTTTTCTTTTGATTTCAATGTATTTTAGAAGATTTAGTGCGTAATGAAGACTATCAAATCATAATAATTTTGTTTTTCTAGATAATTTCTCCTATCGTCCTCGATCCGCAGTAGAGGCAGAAGCAAACTAAAAGAGCAAAATTTGCCGCATATGGACATGTAGAGGTGGCGTCTGGTAACTCACTCTTGCACATGAGGTAGCTTCTGATGTCGTAATGGATTTGATCCGGCAGCCTTGGCTTCATCAAGATCTTTTGTTGCTAGTCGTCCGGTATGTGTGTGGTTTCAGATGACAAGGTGGCAGCGCCAACTCTGTTTCCCTTTTTTTTTTTTTTTTTTCCCTCTCTCTCTCTCTGTCTAACTGTCGGTGGGTTATTTATTTTGTGGGAGAGATAAAAAAAATAGAGTATGAGTGGGAGAGAGAAGATAAGAGAGCATGTACGTCCCTGTTTGCGAGCGTCGACAGTAGGAATATATACAAGGGGATGAGGTAATTTTTGGTAAAATCACATGGTTTATTTATTTAGTAGTCTTCATTCTTTTCAATTTCATCTCAATATTTTTATTTTTATTTTTTGGGTATCTATATGGGTATGTGGTGTTTTTAGTAAAATCACATGGTTTGGTCCTCATTCTTTTTCAATTTCACAACATCTTTTTTTTTTTTTTTTGCTTTCTTCTTTCAATTTTACCTATTATCTGTCTTTTTCTTCTTCTTCTTCTTCCTCTTGTTTTTCTTCCTCCGTTTTTTTTTTTAATTACAAAAAATACTAACATGCTTTAAAAATAATGAAAATTTACAAAATAACAAAAAATTGTGAAAACATGATTTTTTTTTGAATTTTCTTGAAACTTTATAAAAATAAAAGGTTAAAATTAGATTATGAAAATTTTTTGACGTGATATTAAAGTCATAATGGACAAACAATGACTAGTTTAAAACTATTGCTTTCATTCTGTCTTTTAATTAAAATATAATAATTCTATACAAGTTTTAAGTATAAAATATTTTTACTTAAAAAATGTATTAAAAAATTATATAAATCGTTCTTAGAATCTTATTTAATCACTCAAGTTTTCTAAGATAGCAAAAAATTTTTAATCACCTAGCATATAAATAACATTAATTTTTGATCAATCGAACAAGACAAGAAAGTTAAATGGGTTATGCTATACTAATGGGAACTAGTATCTTGCCGTGCAGGGGATAAACATCCTGTGCATATGTGAACATTTAATGTTTCTACTTGTTCTCTTGAAATAAATTGGCGTTAATAACATTACATGGACGTCCATATCTGGTGGTGTAGGATTCACACCCCTTGGACAATGCTATCGGACGGGGCATGTTGGAGTCACCCGGCTACGGCTCGTGTGGGGAGCGTCACTGTTTTTTTAACGACATAGAAATCCATGGCCACATGTCATCCCGTACCATCAGATGCAATAGTAGAGAGAAAGATAGGTTTAGTAATATAGACATACACTAACTGATATTCCTTCCAATCAAATAAGTGAATTACAATTATTAACTACATAGAAAAAGGGAATTCTACTGACGTCACTGAAGCAATAGAACCTTGAGAGGACCGAGTAAAGGATTGAATAAACTTAAACAAAGTGATGAACAGGACGATAAATCCAACAACAGTTCCAGTGCCTATCCAAACATTCTTGAAATACGTTCTTCTGAAGTAGGCCCAACATTGGTTCCAGCAGCTATCAGAGTGAGCATTCAACTTTGTGGCGAGATCGTAATAACATGAAGAAACTTCTACAATTTCTAGGCAAAGTTTGTTAAGCAGCTCAGCCACAGCAGCACTTTCTCCAAGCCTATTAACAATAACTTCACTTTTAATAAGCAAATCTGCATCTTCACCGACGTCCACAAGAAAATCCAAAAATTTAACATAATGGCAGATGTACGCTTCATCAGGATAATAACACTGCTCCAGCGCCATAAGGTTTCGTAAGATACATTCAGTATTATCCTCAATCTCAAAGCATGGAACGTGCAACTCACCTTTCCTTAATGTTATGTCGAGCAAGCATTGATTTTGTAATGGCTTGAGCTTCAATCCTGCCTGGTGCAGCCTAGTTGCTCTATAAAGATTTTTAATTGTTTTGACAGAATTTGGCTCTGGGTGTTTGCAGGACCAAAAAAATCTTACCAAATCAGTGAAATGTAATGTATCATTAGGGTCGGATCTGCGCTTTTTATAGTTTTCGAAGTACTGGCAAGAAAGTTTCAGGAAAGAAGAGCAATCGGCTTCAATGTGTACGTGCTTGGCAGCAACCCTATATAATTCATCAAGAATTGAGAACGGTAGCTGGTTTTCAAGCAATATCAGGTCCCGTTGAATAGCAGCTGTCAGCCAGGGTTTACCTAATATAAAATCGTACTTGTATTTGTGTTGAGATCTGTTTTGATCTCGCTTATATTCTCTAGTCTTCAAGAAGAGCTCAAAGATGAATACAGCATCCCATAGAATCATATTCGGAATCATATTCGGAAACACTTTTGGATCCTTGAAATTTTTAAATGCCTCATCTTGATAATAATTGCGGATGCGAACTTCACAACCTTTAACGGCGCTCTCAAGGTCCTTCCGAAACATTTTCAGTTTTTCCTTAGGCAGTCTGTTACAGAATTCTTTGAAATATCTTCGTTTCTGTGTTTCCATACCTTTCAGATTTTCCTTCTCGTGGTGAATAGGGCCTATAGAAATTTGCCGGGGGGTATAGGCATCTTCATTCAATCGGCGCAAGTTTACAGGAACATGGCAGATACATATCTCTGGCCGCAAGGTAGTTTGCAAGTCATCTGGAACATCAATCACAAGGTCTTCGCACGGATTTTCAATTTCCTTTGAAGTGCTTCTTAAATCCTTGTCACCCATTTGTCTAAATTCACTGCTCAAAAGACGAATAAATGTCGGTCATTACCCAAGCGATTCACATTTGATAAAACTATAATGTATTTTAAGTATTTGAAGTAAAATATCAGTCTTTTTTTGGTGGTGGTGGTGATGGTGGCGGGGCGGGCGGGGGGACAAAAATTTGAATGGCAAAGAGCACTATTATAAAAAGAAGTTGCTGCTTATATATGTTGCAAACATTTCCATCAAATCTGGTCATTTAGCAACAAAATTAACTTTGTTCAAGGCATTTACAAGCCATAAAATGCCTGAAACAGGGTGTGGGTTTTTGTGTGTGAAAGTAGCTTGATTGATAGTGGATAATTACATGCATTTCTCTCAAAAAGGGAAAGCTACTTTTTTATTTCAGTTTTTCAAATTTGTATCGAGTTTGGAAAACATATTTTTGAGGTTCTCCACAGTTTTTTTTTTACAAGTTTCATTATTTTTCAAATGACAAAAAAAAAAAAAAATTGTTGAATAATACAATATTTTTCTTTTTATGTACAAGCACTTTTTAACAATTTAAAATATTAAAATTGTTTTTATATATATGTTTATATTGATAAATGATCATTTTATCCAAAAGCTTAAGCTTATTAGGTAAAGCTTCAGTGATACGATTTATATTATTCTTTAATACGTTCCCTCAAGCGAAAGCTCATTGGGTTTGAAACTTGCATGGGCTTGTATTACTTTGTAATTAATTAATTAAAAGAAAAAATGAGGATAGTAGCATTCAAACTCTTGACCGTTAAGTTAGCAACACATAATAGTTAGTGTCATAATTTATCCTTTTATTATTAATCTAATATAAAAATTCCCCACCCCCTTTTTTATCAAGTTAACAAGTATATGTAACTTTTTCATGATAATTTTTAATTTGAATGAAATAAAATTAATATTTTATAACTGGATTATCACAAATGTAAAATATTAAAATGATTATAATAAATTATGATTCAAATTTTTATGAAAAATTTAAAATCTCGACGTATCTTTTATTTTTTTCGATGGGAAAACTATTCTCCTTTCACAACTAATGAACCCGTTTTTCAATTTTCTATTAGAAAAAGAAAACTGAAAAAGGAAAAGAACACTGGAAATGGAAAAGGAAAATGGTTTTCTTACTTAACAAACCCTAAATGTTTAAAGGTTCTTCCATTTTTTTATTTTACAAAAGGTATACCAAGCTGCAATATATGTCGTGTGTGTTATAAACGACCAGTCATCCTAACCAACTAGCTAACTAGAAGCTCAGTCATAAAACCCACAAGAAAACCTAAATCTGCCAAATCTCTCTTTTCCCTTCCAACCACTAACCAAAACCCCTAAAATCCAACTAATTTGGTTTAACAGCTTAATTTTTCAGATTGAGATAATTATTGGACAAAACTTCAATACTTTATTGATCAAAATAACCCTAATAGGGGTGGATCTTGACATGATTTGACATGGGCTCCCAAAAAGTACCTGATGGATCAACAAGAACCTTGTCCTCATAAAAAATATTGCCGCCTGGACTATTAGAATGAGAATATAATATTTGTAAAAAAAAATAAAAATTGAGGGTTCGATATCAAACAAATCAGGGAAGACTAACATATTGAATAATTTAAGTGCAGGACCCAAACCTTTGAGGGCACCACCGAAAATAGAGATAGAGCTCTCTGTCCAGAATTAGGTGCTCTCCACCCCGCAACTCCTGTACATGTACGGCTCAATCAATAGAATATAATGTAGAAAACAAAAGGAAATACAGAACCAAAATATCATTATTGTACGAAGAATTCTTGATTTTCCCATCAAACGCAGTGATTTGCCTATGGGGTAAGTCTATTTATATGGTTATGAGGTTTTGATAATTACGAACTTAGTAGTTCCATATTGAGCATGCTGCAATTGGAAAACTCTTCACAAATAATGGGCCACAAATGGGTGACTTGATTAAAAGAAATGAAAGTTGAATTGACACCAACTAGATTTGCATCATCTTGACTGAAGACATCGTAGAAAGTGAAGAAGATAGAGAGGAGAAATAAACCTTGGGTCTTTTCTATGATGCGTTCTTCATAACATGCTGTTACTTCTGCATGTATATATAATGCCGCTGCTAGCTGCCTGTAACACGTTTTTTTTTTTTTTTTTTTTTTTTTTTTTTTCAGCAATATACAAGGCAACCAGCCGGTTAGACTGGTCGTATTTTAATTATTTGAAGAGAATTTATTACATATACCAAAAATCAGTTTGTATGATTTTTATAAATTGATCTAAGTGTTATGAAACAATGAATGTTTATAGCTATTTTTATTCCTCATAATTATTTATATTTTTTAATATGATTCAATTTATCGATCGCTATCATCAATTTACCGTTATTATGTATATTGGTGCAGAAATCAAAGGACTCATGCATTTGATTCAGCCATTTATAAACCTTCAACTATTCATGTACCTTCAATCATTCATGAATCTTTTCTATTCCCTTTCAATTTTCTTTCTAATTTTGAAGTCCATAAATAAATTTGATTGTTCATTAGTTGAGAAGTGTAAAGTTAGTGTAAAGAATGAGAGAGTTATTTTGGATCTCGCTATCACTTGTATTCATTTTTGCTTACAAGATAACTCACTTTTCTATCATGTTTTTCTCTAATTCTTTTACTATTATTATTATTTTTATAATACTTTTATTATTTTTTTATAATACGTTATTAGCATGAATGTTCTATAAAAAAATTCAAATTATCTAGATCAATAAGAAGTATGTATCTAATTTATCTTTTACTTTAAATCTAATGATATATATAGTATCCATTTGAAAAAATTGAATGATCTAATATATATTGTTTGAAATTTTGAATTTTATTATTACGTTTGTACTTATTTTCTAACATTATTATTATATCTTACATTATAAAATTTTTATTATATCAAACCTCACAAATCTTGATTTTGTGACTCTTGATATTTTGGACAAGAATTATTTATCTTGATATATTTAAGTGCTAATGACCTTAGAAAAACAACCAAGGATGGGATTTTTATAAAGAAATCTAGAAATAGATTCATAGTAATTGCTATTTATGTTGATAATTTAACTATTATTAGAACTTCTCAAGAGATTCTAAGTACCATAAGTTATTAAAAAGAGAATTTGACATGAAAGACTTTGAAAAAATAAAATTTATCTCCACCTACAGCTTGAACACTTAGAAGATGAGATTTTTATTCATTACTCAACTTATATAGAAAAGGTTCTACAATGATTCTATAAGGATAATTAAGACTCATCTATTGACAAGTATAATGATATATAGTTCATTCACTTGATATCTAAAAAAATTCTTTCTAGGCTTGAAAAGATAACGAAGAACTTTTTGGTCCTCAAGTACCACACCTTATTATAATTGATGCATTGATATATCTTGCTAATACTACTTGATCCGATATAATATTTTTTGTAAATTTATTAGCAAGACATAATTCTATTCATACACGAAGACATTAGAATGAAATTAAATATATACTATGTTATCTTCGAGCTAGAAACAATTGATAGGTATTTATTTTACTCAAATAAAATAAAGTCGAGATTAATTATTTATGTAGATTTCATCTCTCTCTTGCTCCCCTAAAGTTTTGGCCAAACAACCCCCCATTTTCGTCTTCCTTCTTTTTGGAAATTTCCTCCTCCTTTCAACTAAGCTTGCTTCCTCTTGGCAATTTTAGCTCCTCCTCTTGGTAAATTTCAGCTCTCTCTTGCTTTCTCTTTTATGATTTAGTCTCTCTTGCTCTCTCTCTCGTTAGTGCTCAAGCTCTCTCAAAATAAAAGGATGGAGACAAATAAAATGTTTTATGAACCAAGCAAAAGTTTCTCCCTTTTATTTCCCTCTCCATACCAAAAATTTTGCCTAAAATACCCTTAATGAGCTACATGTTCTAAGGTGGTATTTTATACTTAGACATTTTAATTTAGGAGGAACACCTAGTTAGGATATTATTTCTTAGATTAATACATGTTTAGGTCACTAATTAAAATTTTAAATTCTAAGTCATACACGTATTGGAATCATTTAATTAAACTATATTTACTAAGTCTTTCACTTGTTAATTAATACACCGTTAACACATAGCATAGAAATCAAATCCGAGTATTACATATGTAATGGAAGGTAACTCCTCCATTAGAGTTGTTGAGCTCAAACCATCTTCATTGAAAGGACTTATTGGATATATAATCGAAAGCTAAACATATGAGTAACAATAGTATCTTGAAATGAAGATTGCAGCTTTTTTAAATGGTTTGATTATTTTAAGTGAATCTTAGGACATTTATTTGGGGAAAGGAGTTTTCATTTAAAGGGAAAAAAATACTAGATGAAAAAAAAAAAAAACTAGAAGGGGAATGAAGGAAATGAAGTGAAAGTTATTGGTATTGAGTTTATGAAATAAATTTATCTCCCAATTCTAAAAGAGTTTTATACCCAAAATTTAGATTTTTTTTTTTTTTTTTTAACATGGCATGAAAGTGGAAGGAAAAAAAATGGTATTTACAAAAGAAAATAGGCTACACTTTCTAACAATAAATAGAAAAGTGAAGTCGTATAAGAAAAAAAGGACACGATCAAGAGAAATGTGAAGCATGGAGAAAGTGTAGAAGAACATGAAGCATTATAAAAAATCTTGAAAAAGTCACAAGTCTATAAATACAAGCTCTAGTGAAGAGGGAAAAAAAAATCAATAACACTTGCAAAAAGCAAGAAAGCTCTCTAAGCACTATCTTGAATTTTAGTACTTCTAAAACTCGGTTAGGTAGTAGATTGTAGTCCGATAGATTTATAAGTTGATAAATTTTAAGCCGATATTTTGGTTATTTGATTTCATTTTGTGTCTCCAATCCATGTTTGTGATCCTTAAAAATTAAATTAATGTGAGAACATCATATATGGAGAAAAAAAGTCTCGGCTTGTAAGCATTCATTC